CCCTACACGTGTGTATTTTCTGACACCATATTCCCTTGTAAATTTGCTCTCTCTCTCTCTCTTTTTTTGTTCTGAGTGAGAGAAAACATTAAATCATTTTGTTGTTATATGATCATCGACGTAGAAAAAAAAAGAGAAAAAAAAAATGAACAACTTGATTAAGTCTCCTAGTTTATCATCCTTTGCACCTGGAGGGCCCTGGCCTTTCTCCTCTGTTTTCTGACCAAATTTTCTCAGGAAAACGCAGGAAAGTTAGTTCCACCCCCCCCCTTTCTTCTTCTCTACCCTTTTCCCTCTTAACCTGATCCTTCACTTTCTCTGACGTTCTCGGAGTCGGAACAGTCATGGGCACCGGAGAAAAAACCCTAAAATCTTTCAATCTACATCTCTCTCACCTGAAGAACAGCAACAGACAAGCGGTGAAATTAGGTGTACCGAAGGGGTGTTTGGCGATAAAAGTGGGACAAGGACATGAACAAGAGAGGATAATAGTTCCTGTCGTGTACTTTAACCATCCTTTATTCATGCAACTCCTCAAAGGAGCCGAAGAAGAGTACGGCTTCGAACAGAAGGGTACGATCACAATCCCTTGCCATGTCGAGGAATTCCGACACGTTCAATCCAAGATCGATCAAGAGAGATCTGTTTATCACCACCACGACCACCACCAATATCACCAACTCGTCGGATGTTTTAGGGTTTGATCGTTCGATCAATGGATCATGCATTTCTCTCCGTTTTTAGCTTTTATCTTTCTTTCTTTTTTGCTGTTGTTGTTGTTATTGTGGAGCTGTGGAGCCAAACAAGGCCTAGCCCACAAAATTAGGAGTAGAGATAGAAGTGCTTTGTTTCCCTTTGTGAGTCCAAGTATTTTCTTCCTCTTCTTCTTTTTTTTTTACTTGAAGCATGAATCTTGAAAATAAATGGAAAAAAAGTGTGAAAAAATTTCCGGTGACCTCTCCGCCGTTTTTTTCAATTATCACGGCCAAGATGGTCGGAGCCACGGCGAGCGAAAAATAAATAAAGAAAATAAAGCGATATATATTGGGTTGGCAATTTGCATTTTGTTGTTTTGGACGCAAGTATTTTATATAATCCTTGAAATGTGGAAAAGTTATATCTACTAATAAAATATTTTTTCTTTCTTTATTTCCCATATTTCTTTCTATGTTCTCTTTTGATATATCCTTTAAAAATATGGACTTTCCTGTCCAATTCATCTCCTTTTGTAACGGTCGGTCCCTTTATTACAATCAGTTACCCTGTGTATACCATAAAAGATTAACGCAGGATCATGCAGCGAATTAACTATGGTAATAAATATATCTTTCGAATGTGTACTAATGATTTTTTCGATGTATCCAATGCATTACATGGAACTGGTAAAATTAAATGATAGAGCAGAAATGACTCGCATTGAATTGGGTTGGTTATAACAACTGGTGGAGGAGGATTCAGCAAGTGGGTGTCTCTGTTTCTATCAGAGTCTTCACTTCCATGAGGCGAGGTGTTTCCAAAGATTCCTCCCTTAGCTGCCTCCTCGAACCACCGCAGAACATGCTAGTTTTTTTTTTTTAATTTCAGTGCATTAATAAAAAAATACTCCTATATATTAGAAATAAATCTCCTGCTTTATGATACATATTTCTTATTTCTTATTTTTTTTATAGCCAGAAAATTCAGATAGTGTGTTCGAATCATGTAGTACAGCTCTAATAGATATATATCCACCAATTGGTGTTCTAATGGTTGAGTGATCGACAAAATTATTATCAAAATCTTGGATTGGATTCTACTGATGGAAAAGAATTGCATAATTAATTGCGTTACTAAAGGGTTATAAAAAAAAACTCTAACAGATATATATATATATATATATATATATATATATATAGGTGTAATCAAATAATTTTAGAACTCTAAACATAATTGTATTTTCTTTTTGACTTAATAGATTCACATTTAAACAAAAAAAAAGATTAATTATGAAGAAATAGATATAAGATCATTCCGATTTTTTTTTTTAAATGGTGTTTATCTGATTTGTTTTTCAAGAAGGGGATATAGGATCCGTGGAAAGAGGGATAGTACGAAACCATCGGGACATCATAACGCTTTTGAGCGGATTTTGTCGGTAATAAATCTATTTCAATCTTTTTTCTTTTTGTATTTATAATAATCAATCACCAATTCATTTCAATTTCTGATTATAACCACACGACGACGGACCATACTTTTAACATTTCTGGTCAAGCTTTTCTCTAGTTTTACTTCATTTAATTTTATTTGTCTCAAGCGCTTATAAAGTATCTCTTACAAATCGTTTCTTCAGGTAAAATAGAAAATAATCTAAATAAAAAAAAACAAAAAATGGTAAGATATTAGAGAGAGCCTTAAACCCTGGAAATATTTATATATAATGCAAAAATAGGGGAAAAGGTCGATCAAATCTACCTTATGCACATAATTTTCAATCTTCTTTCCTTCTTTTTTCTATATAAATCTGTCTCTCCTGTACCTCAAACCCTATATAATATCACGAATAAAAAGGATACAGAAGAAGGGGAAAAAATAAAAAATAACAAAAACTAAAAAAATCGGACGAAAATACCCTTATAGAGTATTCCTCTGCCACATGAATCCTTCTCTGGTCTGGAACATATATATATATAGGGGGACAGGAAAGACAATCACTACCGGTGTCTGGAATGAGCGCTACGGAGGGTGACGCCGTGCAAGAATTTCGTGAAGCCGACGAGACTGAGCTTGCCGTCGCTGCTCCTCACCCATTCCCTCAGGTGACCGTAAGCCGACGGCCCCACGTTCAGTTCCTGCTCACCAACTCTCAGTTCAACCACCGCCCGATAGAAGGCATTTATGTAATTTCATGATAACAGCGCGTGCATGCACAGAGGTACGTACCCTGGCTAGTTCCTCGACCGAGACCACCCGGTTGCCCTCCCTCTCGAAATGCTCGAAACCCTCGGCCGAGATCTGCTCCCACGTTTCCAGAGCCTCCAGCTGGTGAACGCTGATGGCCGCTGCACAGAATTCTTCAAAGTACATCTTCCTATACGCCAGCGATTCCATCTGCTAATACGATAGAATATAGTTTATAGTGTTGAGCGTATATAATATCTGAGAGACTCGGTAGGGTTCATGATTGAATTACCGTGTGAAGAACATCGGGAACCTTCGATTCTCTCATGGCGTCTGTTCCGTTTTGTACAAGGGCCTGCGAATTTTAAGTCAAAAGCTTTAAGCTCATGAAACTTGATTTATCTCCAAGTCGAGGTTGAGGGTTCTTGAGAAAAAAGCTTTTTACCATCCTGAAATTTTCGAGGGAGACGCTCCCGTCCTTGTTTGGTTCCAATAGCATGAACTGAGCTCTGAGATAAACGAGCTCGTCCTCCATCAATGCTTTCGATAAAGCCTGCATTCGTTCATTATAATTACATTGCATCACTGAAAGCCGAAGCTATAGTGTACTAACTGAGAATGTGAACTCGTTAATCCAATCTGATGATTCAAGAGATCATATATATATATATACCCCCACCCGCAAAAATATAATGCCAACGTAAGGAAAGTGGTACCTTCAGCGCAGCCCGTCTGAATGGTGTTGCGTGTAGATAGGACTTAACCAACTTATAGATCACAATATCGAGAGGAACTCCACGATTTTCATCGCGTAACCATGGATGAGCTGAAATAGACACCAACAAAATACTATCACATTCACAATCATGAGCAACATAAATAACAAAAGAGGGCTCGCAAGACTTACTCAGAGCTTGAACGGCAGACATTCTTTTTCGGTAATCCTTGTTCAGGAGCCGCCTCACAAACTCTTTAGCTTCTGGCGAAACAGAAGGCCATGGTAAATCATCATAGTTCGGGTCAGTTCTTAACACGGAACGGAAGATTCCAGATTCAGTCCGTGCCCAGAATGGCCGGCTTCCACATAAGAGTATATACGTAATGACTCCTATACTCCATATATCTGCCTCGAGACTATAAGATCTGTGCAGAACTTCTGGTGCGACATAGTAAGCGCTTCCAACAATATCGTTAAGCCTTTCATCTGCATGCGAGTTAACAGCATTAACATATATACATTCACCAACCCAAAAAAGAGTGTGAACTCATCGTACCAAAGGCAAATGCGAACAGTGTCCATAGTTTGTGAAAGTTGAAGACTGAAATTCTTACCAGGTCTGATAAAGTCAGAGAGACCAAAATCTATGAGCTTCATGTCTGAATCTTCACGGCTAGAAGTAAATAGAAAGTTCTGGCGGACAAGGGGGATAAGACAACTAGACAAGTTATAACTACTCTGTGAATTGCGAGTGATGAGAATGGGGACAAGTTAAAATCAGAGAACAGACCTCCGGCTTCAAGTCACGGTGCACAACTCCTTGGAGATGACAAAATGCAACAACGTTCAGAATTTGTACAACAATGGCTTTTGAATCTTCCTCGTTGTATCTTCCACCCCTGATACAGAAGAACGTAACATTTGAATATATATATATATATATATATATGTATGTGTGCGTGTGTATATATGTAACACAAGTATAAAGCGACAGGGGGACATAAGGATGAACTTTTTATTTTTGTAAGAAAATCAACATACCTTGCCAAAATTCTGTCCAAAAGTTCACCACCCTCACACAACCTGATCAAGCAGAATTGAGGGTTGATTTCAATATAGTGTGTTAAAAATGTTTCAAACTACAAAAAAAAAAACATTCCAAGAATTGTCCTGTTTACAAATTCAAAATGCCACCAAACAACTATGAGCAATGTTCTAAGTGAATAAAGGGGTACTGAAATGAAAGGGAAACAATATTAATTCCAAATATCCATTGAAGTTTCGAAATTCGGGGAAAAAGATGTAAAGAGAATCATGCATCGAGAAAGAACACAAGAAAACTAGGCATGCTTAGGAGGCACCAAAATAAACGTTCTCATCTGAAGATATAAAATAGGAAACAAGACATACTCCATGACTATGTACACGTTATTAGCGTCCTCACATGCATCAAAAAACCTGATCAGATGCCTGTGTCCGGATAGAGATTTCAGAATTTTCACTTCCCTCCGAACATCTTCAATCGCAATGGCTGTTGTCATCTGCCAACCAATAGTTCAAGTAGAAAACGCCCAACAAATCACACTCTCGAAACATCTCACAGATTCTATCGATCCAAAAGGATAGCCCCATCATGAAGAAAGACAACCATAACGCATAAATATCCGGCAGCTAACTGGTAAACATGACACGTGAATGAAGCAGATACAATAGGTACACATACGAGAATGATATCCATACTCTATGGTGTCCTAATGCAGACAAATCTGAGATGACATCAATGGTTCCTCAAAGTGGTGACAGACAGATTTCTCTGATGGAGACACCAATGTTCCCTATCTTTTCTTGTCTAAAGAATCTCTTCTCAGAAGGCAAAGACAATACTATGTCGCACGGGCATTGTCCTGAACTATGAATCTACTTCACTTTCATCAATTGAATCCGTACTTGCAGACAATCTTAATACAGTATCATGAAATCATATCAGAAGGTATCAAAACCCTAAAGAAATCCTTGTATTCTCAGCTCCATTCTACATTATCCTAATTTCTCCGTAACAGAAGCAAGAGAGCAAATCGGATAAACCGATATCTGTTTCGGACAAAAATGTTGATTGGACACACTCAAAAAACGAACAAAATTAGATAATTGAGATCAAATTAGCCAATGCCCAGCAGTACCTTGGCCTTGGAGATGATCTTCACAGCGAATGGATGATCCCTGAATTCGCCTTTCTTGCCACGCGCCGCGCACGTGTGACCGAAATGCCCTCGACCCACTTCCTTCCCGAGCTCGTACTTGGCACCGAAGTTCTTCCCGTAGCCGAAACTCTTGTCAAGCGACTGATCCAACTCGGACCCTTGCTCCTCCGGGATCGGACCCTCTTTGGGCTTCCCCCCGAGCCGCTTGATCAGCGACGCCTTGATGTGTTTCGCCGGAGACGGAGGGGGGAAAGGCCGTCGGAAGAACCTCCTCGGCGTCGAAGATCTCGCAGGAGAAGGCGACACTCCCGCCGGAAGTGGGCTCGCCGTCGAACCGTGAGGGAAAGGACTGGGCCAGGGGCTTGGGTTGGAGGACCTAGCCGGAGTGTTCTTCACCGACGACACTCTGCCGTTTCCGGGAGTCACCGGAGTAATCGGATTCCCATCACCGGAGACCACGTACGTCGTAGTGTGACCGTCGTCTCCGCCGCCGTACTTGACCTGATTAACCTTCCCGTAACACTGACCCATCGCGGCTCCGCAAAGAGAAAAAGGAGACCCAGAAAAATCTTCGGGGAGTCAAAGTACTCGCATCGGACGGCGGAGGCAGAGACTGAACCTCCGCGGATCCGATCAAAAGAAGAGATCTACGGCAAGAAAACGATAAATGAAGGGAATGAAAGACGGAGCAGTGGGAAAAACGACAAGCACTGTTAAAGAGACAAAAAAGAAACAAGGGACAGGGCGAATAGAAGTGAAAGGGTTTAGTTTTAGGACGCGGCCAAATTATCTGCAACGGAGCGGTGCACCGTAATTGGAAGCTCTCATCCGTCGGATCACGATGTCCTCGATCGCTCGACTTAACAAAGATTTTGATTTTCCCATTTATCTTCAGTAATTAATTAATACTTAGTCTCTTTCCTCGGTCGCGGTCAGCATCAGCAACCACTCTTACTGCTTGTTCGTTCAAATGATTAAAACAAGTTATCCAAATTCGATTAAAATAAATATTAAGCTTAACGGTGAATCAAATTTTTAATCTTATAAAAATATTTGAATTTCTTATATCGCTTTTGTTCCTCACTTCCCTTTTTTTTTGTTAATTTTTTGTTAGGGTAGTACTGGTCCTTTTACGTTTTCTTTTTTCCTTTTTTTTTTTTTTGTCTTTTGGTACTTTTCTCGGCTGCTTGCCGTTATTTAAAATTTTTAAATAGTCTACATAATTGAAAAATAAAAACGGATACCCGGAAGCGAGTGACAGAGGTTTTATCCCCTGCGGTTGACGTACATAACATTGCAAGTGAGAACTCCAATTCGTGACCGAAATGCCCTTATTTCGACACGTGACCCTCTTTGATTGGAAGAAATATTACCGGAGGTTATGAAACGATTCACGTGCTCCGACCCGGTAGGGAGATTCGGAATAAGGGAAACCGTGGAAGACGTCATCCGACGTGGCAATATCTGCACCGTTAAACGTTATTTAAGCTTGAAAAATCTGTTTTTAAAATCGGTAATCTAATCTTTATTGCTAGAATATTATTAGTATAACGTAATCTTCAACCTCCTCTTTAATTTTAAAATCCAGTATCTTTTGTTGCTGCATGAAAATTAATTCAATAATCATTTATTTTGTACACGAATGAAAATTATCTGTTTAGTACCCTGAAAATTTGCGTAATGACCATGAAAATAATGTTTAAACACGATCTAATTAATTAGACTAACGAAGACGTGTATATAGTTATGGTTTACCATGTTTGATGAGTAATTGTAAAAAAAACTAGTATATATAATGACGCGGTTCATTCTTGATTAACATAGACGTGCGTGAAAGGTGAAAGCTCGCAGTTTCGTTATGAATTAAATATTTTGGTCGACTATTTATATATATAAACGTCAATTAAGTAATAAATTATGGGCTTTGTGGTGTTGATTCATTTGTGGTATCGGTAAAACAACGTGAATAGAGACACTTAATGCGGCCATAGACGCGTGGGCACGTAACGTTATTGTCAAGTATTAACCAAAAAAAACCATTATTGTCAAGTAGGTGAGGAGTTTAATTTTTCTTTAAAGTGTGTGTATCTCTATATATATATCAATATTTTTTTTTATATTTCTAATATTTCTTTATAAAAACAGGGAGACGAGAGTTAGATCAATATTAGATTTGATTCGTAAACCTATGCATTAAAAAAGTAAAAAATATATATGTTTTATGTACTGAAATCACTCTATCATCTAGCACGTATATTTATTTTGTTCATTAAATCGCGTCGGTCCAAAAAGGGAGCGCGGCACTAAACAACACAACAAAGAAACCTACTACTATGTTTGTATTATGAAACGAATACGTTTCAATATCAATTGTCTGATGTATTTTCATATTCGCCCCATCCAAGCCGTACTGCGCCAAATATTAGGTTATATTTATTAAGGTATATATATTTATTTATTTATTTATTTATTTATTTATCCATTTCCGACGGCCAAAAAGGACAAACAAAGATTAGAAGATCCAACTCGTTATAATATACTCATACCATTAACAAAATGTGATATCATATGACGCCATAATCCCTGTAATATATACACGTATTTTAATGTTTTGGCTTTGGACGTATACGGATACGGAAAGATATGTGTATCTGCTTACAATAACATCGTAATACACAGATTGCATATTCAAAAGGGGTGAAACTAAAGCAAAGTCAAACTCTTATAGGGAATATGAAAGAGAATCAAGTGAATGCATGGAGGGTTGAGCTAAAAAAAAAAAAGAAGAAGATGGTTGGTCGGTCCAAAATAATAATATGATATCCAATGAGTTTGCATGCAACGTTACAAACTTTGATACCAAAAAAAAAACATTACAAACTTTGAAATATATAAAGTGAATATTGGAGTAAGTCCACCAACTTCTCACCTATTTCTTACAAACCGATCACGTACATGCACTTGCAGCTAAGTATTTTTCGCCACCAAACAAGGGACAATTGATTATATATATATATATATAGAAAATTTGAATCCAATTGCTACCAAAAATTATGTTTGCATGACGTCAGAAATCATGACTAATGTTTTTGGATGTATGTACATTGTTAAAACATGACAGCTTGATAGTTAAAAACATTTTTTTTTTGTCTCTGATATAAATAATCACCAAGATCATTGGTTTATCTATTCCTTATATTCTAATTGCAACTTTAAAAAAAAAAACCTATAATAAACTTTGCTATTTGTATCGGAACATTGATATAAACTACTGCATGATGGCATTCGAGTAAATTTGAGAAGAAATTTCTACATCTGCAATAATGGCATTCTAGTAAATAAATGCGAAACAAAATTATTTTAATAAAACCCCAAATTTATGTTAACGTGGGCTTAAAACCCCAGATATGGGCCTTTCTTATGGGAATACTCGACAGAATAATTAAATCTTAATTTTAAAAAGCCCATTAGAGGCCCGTTATAGTTTCAGCCCAGGCCATACCCAAAATCTGAATTGAAAAGTTTCCCCGTTTTTCAATGCACCAAACCACATATCCTTAGTCTGGAAATTGATTTTTTGTCGTTATTCCCATAGCATTAAAATAATCTGCCAATTGATTGAGATTCATTACTTGGTTTCCAAACCGTACTTGATATTGCATCTAGCAGATGTTGTAAATCTAAATATAATTAATTTATAATGTTTCATTGTGTGTTATATATCCATGTAGATTCATCATTGTTCATGTTCGAAAATTGCCACCGTGAGTAATAATCATTAATTTGCTTGCTAATTATGCTGTGTTAGCCTCTAATAAGGTTCCTGTTCGTGATGATACAAATTGAAAATAAAATAAAATAATAAGGAGGTTCACAATTCAAGTTAAAGGGATCTGGATCTTCACTGTATACATTGCTCGGGTTCAATATGTATATGTGTATATATATATGTAGCATCTAGTCTGCTTTTAAGATCCAAAAGCTGATATGTCATGAAAAGAACTTATTCCATTTAGAGATTGTTATTTTACCCTAAAATGGAATTTGCCTTCATAAATTTGTATTTGGGATTTCATATTTTATACGATAATATAGCGACCCCATAAGAAAGAGAAAAAAAAAAGATGATTAAAAAAGTGGGGGGCTAACAAATCGCGTCTATTTAACATCATGACCATCATTTTAGCATGATCGTCGGCACGTAAAATAATTTATTATTTAATAGCGACCCCATGTGCATGTATACAAGCCATATCACATGCACGCATGCGCGTGTTGATTTGTATATGTAAACATATATTTCCGGTTTGATAATATTCTCACATAATCTCTCAGTTGATTTAATAATCATGATAATATGATTCGGTTTATGCACAACTATTCATGAGTAAACCAATATTGGATGGTTTAGTGGTGAGAGAACATGCAAAATATGTTCTCAGTTTGGGTTCAAATCCAAACGTGTGGAGGAACATTCACTTGGACTTCCTCGGTCTTATGGGAGATGTAATCGGATCAAAGGTACGGTGAACTTTCGGATTATAAACAAAAAAAAAAAAAACTATTCACGAGTGTTATAATTTAGAAAGTACAATGTGAACTTAATTGACGCCAAGTCTACCATTATACGCAATGGCGGCTCCACCACGCGTATATCTATGTGTCTAAGTGGACGGATTTCCCGATTAAGCTGTGTTTCATTTGACTAAATGAGAATTATGACGTCATTAACTGTTCTAAGAAGGACAAATCGATTTCGACCATTTTGTGTATCGTTGAATTTCTACGGTGAAAACACAAATACGCAAATCGATTTGAATATCACCGAGAGCTTGAAACGATCGCTGGGTTAAATTTATCGGCAGATGAAGTGATTGTGACACCATATTAAAAAAATATATATATTCTTACTAATATAGAGGACAAATTCTTACCTATTTTTTAATTATACAAGTTGAGACGGAACGGACCCACCGTTACGAACAGCACCGGTTTGTTCTTCTTATAATCCCATCCCTGGCCCTTGATTGTTCATAATTTTCGCCTTCTTCTTCGCTAAAACCCACGAAAATAAAACCGAAATATATTCTTTTTTATTACAGAAAATTAACATGGGAGAAAAGATCGTGTCTTCATCCTCACAGGCGGCCACCACTCCACAACAGCGGTTACAGTTCATTGTCAACGCCCAACCAGAACTCTGGTGTTACGCCATTAACTGGAAAATCGTCCCCGACGAGTTCGCCGGCATGTGCTTATATTGGTCCGACGGTCACTTCCGAGGGGCCAACGGCCGAAACATCGCCCACGTGTCCACAATCCATAGCCGAATCGTCTCTGACATTGAATTGTTCTACTTAATATCATCCACCAAAATTTTCCCCGTCGCCGGTGATGGGTTGCCGGGGAGGGCTTCGGTCACTGGAACGGTGTGGATCTCCGGCGACAATGAGCTTCGGTTTCAGAACTGCAACAGAGCGAACGAAGCGCAGATGCATGGTATTCGCACCCTTGTCTGCGTACCAACCTCGGATGGTGTTCTTGAGCTGGGTTCGTCGGAGATGATCGGATATGATCCACACCTTGTCCGACTGGTAAAATCGCTCTTCGGGTCGGATCTTTCTGACCCGAAACCGTATCCGCGGCAAAACCCTCCTCGGTTCTCGGACAGAGTCATATCTGTTCCTCGTACCGACATTACCGTGGATGGTGACGACAGTGAGTTCCCATGTAACGCAAAAGAATACGAAGGAGACGAAACCGGGTCGGGTCCCGCACTGAAACTGGATCCTATTCCGGAGAGAAGGCGGAGAAAGGCGAATTCGACGGGGGAACAACCGTTGAACCACATCGAGGCGGAGAGACAGAGGAGGGAGAAGCTCAACCACCGGTTCTACGCGCTCCGGTCGGTGGTTCCACGCGTGTCTCGCATGGACAAAGCGTCGCTCTTATCCGACGCCGTTTCGTATATCAACGAGCTCAAACGCAAGATCGACGAACTGGAATCCAAACTAAAACCCGACAACAAGAGGGTAAAGCTGGAGGAGATGACGACGGGGCTGTCGAACGACCAGAGCGGGATAAAGAACGCATCGGAAGCCTTGGTTTCTAAGAGAGGGTATTCCAAAGTCGAGGTTGATGTGAAAATTGTGGGTGATGAGGCCGTGATTAGGGTTCAGACAGAGAACCTGAGTTACCCAGTGGCGGCGCTCACGGCGGCGCTCCGGGAACTTAAGCTGAAGATCCGGCATGGGAGCATGTCTTCGGTCGAGGAACTGATGGTACAACAGATGGTAGTTACGGTCCCGAGAGGAACGAGACGCGGCGAGGAGATGATCAAGTCTGCGATTATCTCGCGATTGTTGTAGTTTCAAATTGTAGAATACGATAAAAGTACGATTACATGTCCTTTTTTTTTGGCGTGATGTAAATACGTTGTTGTGTATGGTGATTTGGATTGTAATCTTATATAGTTCTATAATTAATTATGGATTTCATCAGCTGGGTGTTTTCTTATTGCGAGGCGTTGGTGCACATTTCATCAAGCTATGCAGGCAGCCGAGGGTACGAGCGAAAAGCCAAATATTGCGGGTGAAAATTAATTATTATTAAATGGAAAAGCTTTTGAGAAAATGGTATATAATATATGATAATGGACGGAAAAGTCGGGGTTAAGATTAAAGAAATGCCACAGCGAGGGAAAACATGACAACAACAACAAAAAAAGATGCGCATTGAATCGGCTATCGTTGTATTGTTTAATATTATCACCATTAGTGTTGGAGCTGGTGCATACATGTTAGCTCGAAACCCATCATATTATCATCTTTAAAACCCCGAATAAACAAACGAAAACATGGTTTTAATTAGAGCACCTAGCTAATATTATTTATGAGATGCAAAATTATAAATAGTTTTTTTTTAATAGGAAAAATGTGATGTTCCAAACTATGACTAGGGCGGCGAATAATCGATGGTGCGAGAGGTAGAGATGTGGAGAACGACGTATGGGGATAAAACGAATACACATTAGAATAAGAGAGAGATCCGAATGTTAACAAATTACACAATCAACGATAATTTAGAGAATTTGATTGAACTACTTATCAACAATATGAATCTCTCTTTTTAGCTGTCTATCTAAATGGAGTTTTAAAATTTGGGATACTTAATTTGAGATAGTTATTAGGATGTGTGATATTTTAAAAAATATTTGTTTAAATGTAAGGACGAGGATACAATATGTTAACGGTTCCAACGTCCGTGACATAATTCGTCGAACGTTACAAAAACTATTAGTTTGATTTGGTTTATTTTGACTATGATTTGTTAATGTCTTTTTTTTTCTTATTTATTTGTTTATTCTTCTCTAATTGCATTTAAAAGGGGTTATACGAGGTTATTATCATGTAGTTACATAAATAAATAGCTTTGAAAATTCAGAGACTCACGAGTATATAAATTCCTCATTTTCTGTACTATATATAGGTAAGCAATTGTATTTTGTCACGTTTCCATTAATTTTATAAGCATATACTGAGACTTTTGGTTTTTTTTTTTTTTTTTTTTTGCATAATCGAATATATTTTTCATTTTGATGATCGAGATATCGATGGTTTGTATTCGGAGATATTATAGATATATTAAATTTAAAGTTAGTGCCGTCCAATGAAAAAATGCAAGTCAAACTGTGAGGAATTCTTCCGGTATTGATAATGTTTGTCGAGGTGGGCCGTTTCCGTACAACCAACAGACCCTTCTTTTTATTTTTTGTAATTGAAAGCTAAGATATGCCATCACATAATAATAATATAATATAATATAATATAATATAGGAAACACGTTTGATTTCCAAATAGTCAAGGTTCATGCATTAAAATATGCAAGTGGGACCAGAATCACTGTGACACCACTTGATTTATATTATTCTTATTTAATGTTGTTGTCCGGTTTTGGCTGCACGGGATTAATTGGTTATCATTCATGCATATAAACTATAGATTGTGATTGTGATTCTGTTGGCACCACGAGAAACTTGCATTTCCAGTCATCTAAATCACACGTTTTATATATGTGATTATTATTATTATTATTATTTTTCCCCTCGGGTACTATACCATTGATAGTTATGGAAACTTCTATGATTACAGCATTGAACAATCTATAATATATATATATATAGAGAGAGAGAGAGAGAGACTTGTTATAGAATGCGATACTATGTAATCAGTGACGACGTGTTGTTATAAATCAAACGACGACAAAAAATTTACATTGATTATAAAATGTTTTCTTCCTCGGAATCTTTAGTCCCCATATATACATACAATCAATCATGTTATATGGACTATGATTCATAGGTTTTGACTAACTCCATTAATAAGCATGTACGACACAATTATTTTGTTTTTTAAGAAGCTCTCAACACATTTATTTATTTCTTTTTTTATAATCATGGTTCCGTAAATTTGACCCAATCCAACTACATCCATCCTAGATTCGGAATTAACATTAGTACATGGACTATTTTAACCGAAAAATTACATTCGAATCCAAAACATTGAAGATAATTTTGTTACATCTAAATCACTATAGCACCAAATGTTGGGTCATTTAATTAAATTTAACCATCATTTAATATTGACTGTGATTCATGGGTTTTACGGGCGAAACTTTCGTACTTCCATTTCGTATGTCCAATAAATACGACTCACGGAAACGTTCATCAATGGGCCACCTGCCTCTCCACCCATATGTTGTACCAACAATGTTACATCGAAGTTCCGTGTGAAGTTTTTTTTTTTATGCATGTAATGAATGGACAGACAATCTCCAACTAATCTTTTGTTGTATTTAATTTCTTACCTTCGATATATGGAGTGGTTTCTTTTTCCGGGTTACCCATTTCGTTTCTATCCCACAACATTTGAAATGAATAAATGAATGCCTATTTTCATTGCCCTGTGGATCGTTATATGTCATCTCATCTCAGAATTCATTAAATGCTCATGAAAAAATGTATCGAGCATAATTAAAAACTGAAAACCACGTAAAAGAGAACTCGAACCGCTTATAAGTGAAACCCATCGTCCATCACATTTCTCGTACGACAAGACCCATAACCCAAACACTTTCAAGCAGCCATGGCCGATCACAAGCTTCCCATTCTCGTAATGGTACTCGTTCAGCTCTTCCAAATTCAGCTGGCTCGGTCCGAGAACCGGTATTTTCCCTCCCTCTATATCCAGGCGGGTTTGCTCTTTGTATTCGCTATCTTCTGTGTATGTTGGAGCAAACGGTCCAAGCCGGTTTATCTCGTCGATTTCTCATGTTTCAAACCCGGAGACGATTGCAAGATCTCATCAGAAACGTTCTTTAACATGGCCAAAGCCTCTGGCTTGTACTCCGACGAGACGATTCAGTTCATGACCCGGATACTGAACCGATCCGGTTTAGGAGACGACACGTACGCACCTCGATGCATGTTGACGTCGCCGCCGAGACCAAGCATGGCCGAGGCGAGGTACGAGGCCGAGTCAGTCGTATTTGGAGCTATCAACTCGCTCTTCAGGAAAACCGGAGTTAAACCGGAAGACATCGGGATCTTCATCGTGAACTGCAGCTTGTTTAACCCTAACCCATCTCTCTCCGCCATGATCGTGAATCGGTACAATCTCAGAAGCAACATCAAAACCTACAATCTCTCCGGTATGGGCTGCAGTGCCGGTGCGATCTCAATAGACCTCTCGAAAAATCTTCTCAGAGCAAACCCTAACACGTACGCGCTCGTCGTGAGCACCGAGAACATGACGCTAAGCATGTACCGTGGCAACGATCGGTCCATGTTAGTCCCGAACTGTCTTTTTCGTGTCGGAGGCGCCGCCATTCTTCTCTCGAACCGGAGCCAAGACCGTTCACGGTCCAAGTACGAGCTAGATCACCTCGTACGGGTCCACAAAGGAGCCGGCGACATACCCTACACGTGCGCTTACCAGAGGGAGGACGAAAAAGGTATTCTCGGTGTATCGATCGTCAAAGAACTCACCTTTGTTGCCGGAGACGCGTTGAAGACGAACTTAACCTCACTCGGTCCACTCGTTCTTCCATTATTGGAAAAGCTCCGGTTTATCGAATCTTTCTTGAAGAGGAAGATTTTCAGGTCAAGGGTCGAAGTTTACGTCCCCAATTTCAAGAGATGTTTTGAGCATTTCTGCATTCACGCGGGAGGGAGAGCATTGTTGGACGCCGTCCAGAAGGGACTCGGACTCAGTGAGTGGGACCTGGAGCCGTCTCGAATGACGTTGCACCGATTCGGTAACACGTCGAGCTCGTCTCTGTGGTACGAGTTCGCTTACACGGAGGCGAAGGGTCGAGTCGGACGGGGTGATCGGGTCTGGCAGTTGGCGTTTGGGTCGGGTTTCAAATGTAACAGTATTGTGTGGCGAGCGCTGCGGACGATTCCGGCGGATGAGTCGTCACTCGGTAACCCGTGGGTTGACTCGGTCCACAAGTATCCGGTACAGGTGCCTTGATTAGATATTTCCACGTGGAGGAATAATAGACGTTGAGATCTGTCGATGATGACGTGGATATCGAGGTCTTGTCATAAATGCATTGAGAAAATTGTCCTTTTCCATCTCGTATCCTCACAAAAAAATATTAATATGTACTTTTTTTGTTAAGAATTTATCCACGTTCCAAACCCAAGGCCCACGAGGAATGGAATAAAAATATAATGGGCCTATGCACATTATTGGCCCTCAGATCATAGATCCCATTTCAGATCAGAAGATTAATTAACGGGTATTATATCAAAAATACCCTTATTTTGCTATTGTTACTTCAACACATAACCTTCTCCAATTGTGACCATGTGACCAATATGACCCAAAATATAGTATGGTCACATTTTAATTTTATTGATTATAATGTTAAATTTATGGTGATCTCACTAATTCATTATGTTCATACCTTATATATCTTACTAATTATTTGATTAAAACATCATAAATTTAACGTTATAAGCAATGAGATCAACATGTGACCACACTATATTTTGGGTCATATTGGTCACATGGTCACAATTGGAAAATGGTATGTGTTGAACTAAGAATAGCAAAGTAAAAGTATTTTTTATAATGCCTCTAATGAACGTTGTTAAGACCACTTGATTATTCTGTAGGTTTGGTTAGATAACGTAAAGATCCACAAAATATTATTATCTGAAAATAAAATTTTCTCTTTGTTTGTATTCGATGCCTCTGCATGGTCATTTTATTTATTTGTATAGGATACCTCTAGAATAATAACACATAAATTTATTTTTATTTATGTTTTACACTCAACATCGTTGTGTCCAAGATCTTAAACACAAAATAAAAAAATAAAAAAAATGTATGTGTTATTATGTATGATCTGAATCAATGGCTTTGAAGCCTTGAAATGCAGATGTCAAGAATTTCCGTTTGGGGCTGTATAATTTTCAATGGTGTTCAGGCCCATGACAAAAATGGGCCCATACCCCATTTATGGGCCTAGGTTTAAAGTATAAGGCCTATTTTATTGGTCAGAAAATCTCTCATGGTTACGAATACGTGTACGACAGAAAGGCCACGTAAGGCTAATTTTGCCATCACACCATAGTTTTCATTCATAAAGATATTATTACAATTCTGAAAATGTTGCATCTTATTTTTCTTTCTTGATCTAAATTGCATCATTTTCTCTCGTCATAAACTGTAGATGCCGAGGATTTAACCATGAGCACAAACCCTAGCATCCTTGTAGATTTTTCCCGTCCGGCAAAAATAACCTTTACTCGGAGCACAGTGGACATGTTCTGAGCAAATGCACAAACCCTCCAATGCACATCCTTTCCTCACCATCCCTATATTACCCTTCAAAGTATCTGATCTGTCCATTCGTTCGAGAATAACCCCAAGGGATCGTACGTTTCCCTCACTTTCAAGAACTCAGACGCGTTCTTGAACTTTTTGATCACCCCATCAAAGGCAATGTTTCTGTTTTTTCCCCAATGCGGCAAGGCATTGTACTTGAACAACGCCATCTGCTCAATCTCCTCCATGTAATCTTGGAAGAGACGTGGGGCCAATGGATCTTTGCTTCTGTAGTAAATCATGTCAAACTCTAGTGAATCGACCTCTTTGCCGAGGAAAGCTGACGAGCCCGTCATATACCGCATGCGAATACCGTCGTATAGGTCGAGGCCGCAAAGGGACTTGGGCTCGATTTTCAAGAGGGCTTTGGCGTCGTCGATGAAGTCTTTGGCACTCGTGAGGGGAATGCTCAAGGCTGTGTGGTGATAGAAACTTCCTTTAATCCGTGGATCCCATGCACAAGCCGATTTTACCCCGTCTTCCGGGCTATCTAGACATGACCCCGACGACATCATGCGACTTTGGTCTCCTATCACCGGATATCCCGTGAAATTTACGCCTGTTTTCAATATCGGCCATCGTATGACTCGCAAGTAATAGAATATGCATACATATATATTTCTTGGAAAGGAATATAATTGCATATATAGTAAATGATGATATACCATCGTTTGTTAAACCATAAGCTGCAGCAAATCCTGAAGACGTGGATTGCTTGGCATCGGAACATTTCCCACTCGCATTTCTCAGTGCCTCTTGCCTTTCCTCTAATTATTGCTCATTGAAAATAAAATATAAACAAATAATAAATCACGTACGGGTAGCTTTGACGAAAGAAAAGGCTACAAGACCGAATGCACATGCATACGTACCTGTGGATCTGCCGAGAGCTAACGCCGAAGAAGGCATCGCACGGAATGCAGAGGCGTCGTTCAAGCCGTTTTCTGACGTGGTGGGCTTAACTCGGTCGTCCACTCGGTAGACTACCTTTCCTTGACTCGGATACCATACAAAGTCTGCAAATTCGTGCTTCCTACCAAAACTCATGGCTTCATCCCCAATATCGCGATCGTTTTTCATTACATATGTTATCGATCTTTTGAACATTGGTTGCAGTTTAAAAGTTACCTACACAAAATTAGTTTTGTGAAATACTTGTTTAGTATTAAACTTAACTGTAATACAATCTTTATATATATATATATATGGAATCTTTTTTACTGTACCTGAGAGATTACACCAAGAACGCCAAGCGAAACCTTGGCGGCGTTAAACTCGTTATGATTACTTTCATTGAGGACTCTGATATTGACGAACCCTGAATCGGCCGGGCCAGGGCTCACGATCCGAATCTCGGTGACGTAATCATGAACCGCACTCCCTTTGCCCCACAAGGAACTACCATGAGCTCCGGTCCCCATCATGCCGCCAACTGTCAACCCCCACCAGTATGGCGCGTACGGCAGCACCATTCTGGCTTTTGCCGCTTCGCTTATGAGCTGCTGTAGCAAGACGCCGCTCTGTACGGTCAGCGTCATGGCCGCCACGTCCACTCTCACCGTACGGTTCAAGAACTTGGTGCTTATGAGGATGCCGTCCTTGCCATCGGTGCATGCGAGTTTCGGTATGCTGTGTCCGAAGCGCGTGACCGCACGCATCTTGCGTTTGGCTCTGGCTCCTGCTGCTACGATCGATATGAGCTCTGACTCTGTGGTTGGATACGCCACTTCAGCAGCTTGACACGTGGAACGGTCGGGGAATGTTCGGTAGGAGTTCGTGACAGTACAATGTTTGTTTCCAGAAGCGCACGTGACGGGATCCTCGGGAGGACTCGAAAACGCAATGAAGAGGATGGAGAGAAAGCATTGTAACCTGAGAAGGTTGTTCCAATATGCAACTTTTCGGGAATAACAAAGAGGGGGTGGAAATGTCATGGTGCGTTTTAATTAATTTGTGAATCTTATGATCAGGATTAGGTCTAATGAAATTCCCCAGTGTTTAAATATCGTCGTCGTGTGTGTGTATATGCAAGAGAGTTAGGTAGATGATGATTTGTCGGTAAAAATTATAATTATGTCATTGTTAATTAAATAATATAATCCGAACAAAATAATTGAATAACCACTGTGATATGTTGGTCTCCCACGTGATTCTCGATTAATTGTTTTTCTTTTTCATTCTTGACGCCGTGTTAATTGATTCATTAGGTTATCTTTTCTTTTTTCATTTTTCTTTTTATACTACTTTATTTATTTTGTCCATACATCATTTTTGGACCAACCCAAATCATGATTAGTATAATCTCGATGATCCCTTGATCTTAAATTTATATTTTACAAGATTTTTTTCTATTTGAAATTAATTCAAATTTTGGATATAAAAATTATTAAGGAGTCAAGGTTCCCACGTTGTAATAGAAAAGGATGCATATTTATAACATAAATCAGACAGCATGATTAGAAATCTCACATTTGTATTTTTTCAGAAATCATTTAATTATTTACGAAACCGTCAAACTAATTAGCTGGCACGTACCGACAGAAGAAATAAAATACATTTAAATGTGATATTATCAAAACCCACCAGCATTGTACCGTTTTGTTAACTAATCATAAGAGAAGACGTGCATTTTACATTATGCCCAAGATCTTTAATGTATAAAAAAACATGTATATTCATTCTTTTTTTCCACATGGATTTAATTATTTTTTACTTAATGTTAATCATTGGTAAAATCACCAAAAATATCTCAAACATGTTAAAATATTCCAAATAAAAACCTCAAATTTGTGTACTTCCATTAAAACGCATGAAGTCAACAGTCATTTAAAAAAACTCAAATTTAAAATTTTATTACAAATAAAACTGTTGACCATTTTGATCAAAATTTTCCGTCATATAAATGCTGACGTGGTAAGTCGAGACGCTAAGAGTGATTACACACCATTACCATACAATCGGTCTTAGAATATTTTAAAACTAAATAATGTCTAATTAATTGAACCGGTTTACTGATTAATGAACCGCTATATA